GACCCTTCATCATGACGACGGCGTACTAACACATGGTTCGAGGGCACGAGGACACCGGGCAACGTGATATATCCACGGCGGATGACGCACACAGGCACATAGGAGAGCCAACTACACAGTAACGACCCCCGACACTGTAGTGGCCATCGGAGAGACACAACGCACACTATGGAAGGAAACAACATACTCATGTTCGTTAGCATGCAAGCATATCAACGCACACTGCCACACAAAACCCTGTCCCACCTTGTGATGGTATGGCCCTTCATCGTGGGAGGTTACGCCGGACCTCCTTATCGTGTGTCCCGGCGTCCCACCATATTATCACATGGTCCGGCGTCCCCGGAACGCGGGACCATACCATCCCATGGTCTGGCGTCCCCGCGACGTCGGACCATACCATCGCATGGTCCGGCGTCCCACCATATCATCACATGGTCGCGTGCCGGGGACGCCGGACCATTGTGTCGTTTTTGTTTCCGTCCGAAGAGTGGGAGCCATGTGATGTGAAGGTCCGGCGCTCCCTCTGCTGGTGCACCCTCCCACGATGGAAGACCAGCGTGTGCCCTCGGGAGTTGTCGTCAGAGAGCGGTGCCCTGTGAAAAACGGTTCGCGGTGAGATGGTCATGGCGGTTGTTTGCCATTTCTGTGTGTGCGAGTCGTGGGTGCGTGGCAGTTGTTTGTGTTGGAGGACATTGCTCACCCAAGGCACATGAATGTTTTTTTAATTACAAAACTGAAGATGTTGCACGCCGAGAAAAAAAAACCCTTCGCAACAAATATCTCTTAGTCCGTTCGAGCACAAGAGATTGTGAATTGGCTCGTGCTTTCAAAATGTGTGAACTGGTTCGTGCTTTTAAACAAGAGATTGATCATAGAAGGAAGATGAAGAAAGAAGAAAGATGTGTGAAGTGGTTCGTGCTTTCAAACAAGAAATGAATCGTACAAGGAAGATGAAGAAAGAAGAAAGATGTGTGAAGTGGCTTGTACATTCAAACAAGAGATGAATTGTACATGGAAGATGATGAAAGAAGAAAGATGTGTGAAGTGGCTCGTGCATTCAAACAAGAGATGAATCGTACAAGGAAGATGAAGAAAGAAGAAAGATGTGTGAAGTGGCTCGTGCTTTCAAACAAGAGATGAATCGTACAAGGA